AAATTTAAAAGTTACCTGTAGATAGGCAATGTTTTGTTTCGTCTTCTTATTTTTTCATATATCAGTTTTATTATCCGATGTCATGTTTAGCAAAAGCTTGAACGTTTTCCATTTATTTTTGTGAGGTGGACAGGAAGAAATATGTCATGCTCTGTAGTGCCAGGACCAGCTGGAACGGCAAGACCGTACCATGTACCGGGTGCAGTCGACGTCGGGGCAGGCGGCCCGGCGGCCCCGTCTCCTCCACCTCTGGTCCGGTCCTCGGCCAAGCTCCATCCCGGCGGCGCGGGCAGGCCCCCCTCCTACCCCTGCTGCTAGCGTTGCCGGTTCTCAAGGTGGGGTTGCCGACAACGCTACCGCACTACAACACACCGTGGCGTGACGCACGCGTGACTAGAGCCGGACAGGTCACCGGTCAGGTCACTCGCGCGCGACAGTCACGCAGGCTGCGGCCGAGTCCGAGCCGCGCGCCGTGACGGAGGGGTTCTGCGAACGGGAAAGGACCTCCTCAAAGTGACCCGGCATAACACCGCCGCTATATGGCCTTCGCGGTCGCGGTCACGGCACGACTCTGCGCAACAGCCCCGGGGGGCTCAAAGGAGTGCGTGGTTTGGGTGATGGGGTCGACTATCAGATCAGAGGTGAAGTTGCGGTCGCAGTCGTGATGATCGTGTGATGAGGGCAGTGCGATGTCCTGGTTGACCCCCACCCCTCCCTCCCACGCAACCTCACCTCTTCGACCGCGCAGGCGGGGCTGGACATTTACCTTCCTACACACGCCACAACTGACGAGCAAGGTCCTAGTATAAACACTTGTTGGGGTGACGGGGGGAGGAATGGGTCTGCAAGGTGCACGAGCATGCGACAAACAAGAAAACGACGAGCGCGGTGGTGACCCATGCTGAAATATTTTGATCTTTGCCATGAAGTACCAAGGAAGGACTCGTAAAGTTATTTTGCTATCTCAAAATATCTTGCCCACACTCGCCCACACCCGTCGTTCTAGCAACATCTAGAACCGCTGACGACTGGTATCGATAAAGGGAATAAAATAGATCAAGAGGAAGAGCTGGGTCAGCGGGAGGGGATGGGGGAGATAAAGAAGCGCGTTGGAGGGAGGACAGTGTCCTCAGGACACCGCTCGACAAATGGACCCGCCGTGACTGGCCGCACCTCGATTCCTGCCTCTTGACCTTTTCCCTCCGACAAACGGACGCAGACGCCTCGGCGAAATGCTCTCCATCATCGACCCATAAACTTCAAGTCATTTCTCTCCCTTTTTATCGCGCGAAGAACGGAGACGGGGGGAGCCAGCGGCTGCCCGACTCGATCGGCGGGAAGTTATGAACCACTGCCCCGGACGCAGCGGCAACTGCCATAGGCATGGCATGACTAGGGAGGGGCCAAACCTTTCACCTTTAGGTATAGTGCGTACTTACGATTCGTCACTTTGCGGGTGCAGGACAGTGGACGACGTCGGCGCCGACGTGTGCGCAGCGTGGGCCGTGGGGCCCGCAGACATCGCGACTGACGTCATGTTTGCATGGCGCCCCCTCGCCCGGTGTGGCCGGGGCCGGGCGCGGGCCGGGCGCGGGCCGGAGCCACGGCCTGCAGAGGTGTTGCACGCGGGACCCCGCCCGGGGCCTGGTCACCGCCGCAGCCGCGCGCAGACGCCCCCGCCCGTGCCGCTGCACTGGCGATGAGGTTAGGGTCGAACGTTCCCAGGTGGGTCTGGGCGGGGCCCAGGCCGGGGCCCACGCCCTGCAGAGGGAGGGGGCGCTGCCGGGCGCTGCCGGGCGCTGCCGCAGCGGGCGGGGCGCCTGTCGACGCGGACGCGTGGGGGCTCGCGCCTGTTCGCGCCTGCGGCCGCGCGGGGCGGGGCGCTGAGCTGCTGGGACGGGGGGGGCCTGGCGCCTGCTCTCGGGCAGCGCTGGGGCCTCACTACCAGCCGTGTCCCTGGCCGCGCAGCGCCGCGCAGCGCCACGCCGGGCGAGGGGGCGCGGGGGCCCTGAGCGGGCCCCCCTTTTGCTGGCCCGGGCAGAGGGGAGGGGGGAGGGGGCTCGCTGCAGCTACCGCCAGCGGGGTGGCGGTGGGTGGGGGAGGGGTGGGGGCACCCCCAGGCAGAAGGGGGTGTTGCGCGCTCAACCCCATCCATCCAGCAATATATTGCGGGGAAGGCGGCGGCTTACTTGTAGGGGAGCCGGGTCGGGTCGGGGAACTTATTCTTGAAATGGGTCGTGGTGCCCGACAGCTCCCCGCCCATGGCATTCAGGGGGTGGGCGGGGAGGGGTGTGTTAAGCCGCACCCCGCCTGCAAGGAGGGCGACCGTTGTGGCTGGGGCGACGAGCGATCGCCGACCCAGTTCACCACCGCCCCCTCCCTCTCCCTCCCAGACGACAGTGCTCCGCCCCGAGCGCATCGGCGGGCCCGGCGCTCCCGCTCCAACGTTTTGAGGTCAAAAAAATAAAACGGAACGACGGCAGGGTCTGACCTCCCTCCGGAAGGAAAACACGTCGTGATTTGCTGGCGAGGAACAACGGCCGTGGGGGGCAGCCCCTCTGGTAGGGGCGCAATCTGTGAGGCGCTGCAGCAGGGCGGGGCGGGGCCCTCCGCTACACACAGGCCTCGGGCGGCGGGCACACGCGCGACGACGACGACTTGGACAGGGCCTTGGCCGCCAGCGACGCGCCCGACGTTGAGCCCCCGAGCCCCTCCGACGGGCGGCGTGCCTGTCGGGACCATGAACAAGAGGGCGGTCGGCGTGTGGCGGAGCACAGGGCCGCGAGGGACTCGAGGGGGCCGGCCGCGCGCGCCGCGCACCCTGCGCTCTGCTCACCGGGCGCGTGAGGGCCGTGAGGGCGGGCAGCAGCCGGGGGGGCCTCACCTTCCTGGGCGGCAGCGGCGCCCCCGGTGGCGCCTGCTCTGCGATGGAGTGCAACGGCGCGCAACGCGAGGGGGCCGCGGGCGGCGCGGGGGCCACCCGGGGGGCCACCCGGGGCAGGAAGCTGCAACAGGGGGCAAGGTCAGAGGGCGGGGCGGGGCGGCGGGGCGGTCGAGCCCGTTGCGGCACGCACCTGGTGGAGCAAGAGCGCTGCCCGTGCCCCAGCGGCACGACCCCTGGCGGGGCCGTCTGGTGCAGAGCGGAGCAGCCTCTCCGCATCGGGATCCTGGAGGGCTGTCGGTCGGACAAGGTCGGGTATAGGACTCGCAGCCTCGGCCCATCTCTTTTTATTTCCCAACAAAAAGAAATGTGCCGTGCGGCGCAGCCCTCTGCCGCCTTTGCCTTGGTGACCAGTGGCTCTTACCACTTTGCTCGCGCAGTTCCGGGGAACGTCCCGCGCCCTGTCCCCGCCAGAGTTGACGGTCGTTCCGGCGCCGGAACCGGAACCGGATCCCGAACCGGAGCAGAGTGACGACCGTGGGACGGGGTCGCGAGCCAGCGCCCGCTGCAAAGGAACACGTACTCGATAATGTGCTAAAGAAAATGCACAGCGTCTATTCAACCGTCTACATCGTAATCACGACCTATGATGGCCTTGAAATGACGAATGACCCACCTGGATGCTGCTGCGCCTCGTGCACACCGACGACACGGACGATGCCGCACTGCTCATGCACTCCCTGCGGACGAACAACGAAAAGAAAATCATTGTTCTCCTTAATTCTTAATTCTAGCATTTTGCGTTAAGAAAAATCACGTCGACCGTTTCCGGGAAACTTCGGGAAAATTTCCGGAAAAAATAGAAATTTTCCCAGACTTTGGAAGTTTTCCGTTGTTTTCCGGAAATTTTTGGAAATTTTTCGGAAATTCCCAACCTTAAATATGGTACCTGAGGTCCGCGAAGTACGAGTGGCGCAGGAGGCGGCGAGTGTTGGCGCGCTGGTCCGGGTCGTAGATGAGCATAAGTCGCAGCAGGTCGCGGCCGGCCTCGGCCAGCGCCGGCACCAGGCCGAGCAGCCCGCAGCCCGGCGTGCAGGGGAAGGCCGGCAGTGGCCGGGACTGCAGCCAGCTACAGTGCCGAGGCAAAGAAATGCGGAAAACCAGAGGTAAATCACTAGTGAAAAGTGAAAAGGGCGTAAGTCCAATGCAAAGTCCGTGGCCTTTTTCACTTTTCACCATAGTGAACTGTTTAAAAGTTAGAAATATTTTAATAAAAAATCGTACCAGGTGGCTGACTCACGCCGCGCACTTTCGTAGTTATACTGTACCGCATGCACTGGTGCGGGCGGGCTTGCCTATCGTCGCTGCCCACGGCTCCTTGCGGCCCCGTGCGATTAGGCAACCCGCACGCACGCGTGCTTGCGGTACAGTACAACTAGAAAAGTGCGCGGCGTGAATCAGCCACCTGGTATATACTCACTGCCGGCGCAGTTTGTCGAACACTCTCGGGTGAGGCGAGCCGAGCACAGCGTGGATCTTGGACAGCTGGTTGATCTCATCCGAGCCGGGGAACAGCGGCTTCAGTCTGCAGAGTCGGAAAAAAATAGAGTGGGGGGGACAAATAAACGTATATTGGGGCTGGGAATCAATTCAGTGCTCGATGCGTGCGGCGGGGTCGGCCAGGCCGTTTACCGAGCTCCCTCGCGTACGATATGGGGCAGTGTGGCAGTTGTAGCCCGTGAATAATGCAGGCGGGCACGGACCGGGCACACACTGGACAAACACGGCCTCGCTGTGCCTGCCCCGCCC